CTCGAATTAGGCTTATCTACAAAAATGTGAAATTGATACAGTAATATACAATTGGTTCTTGTCAATATTACAGTGAGTCAAGAAATAAATTTGTACTTACTTTCGTAAATACTAGAAGGTGCCATTATTTTTACGGATAAAACCATTATTGGTGCATAATACCTAATAGCTATCATTTAGGGTTACATAATTTAATTTCTAGGTCCCTATTGGGACTTTGAAGTTAATTAGTGTAACCAGATAAGCTTTTGAATACTCTACGTATACCGAAAATTGTTAATGTGACCATTAAATGACCGAATCATAATCTTAAGTTAATAGTTAAATGCTATCAAATAACCTTATATTTATCGTCGTACGACGTCGTCTAAATGAAGGTTTCGATTAATAAATTGATTTTCTTCTATATACATTCAAATATAGGAATAAATTTGTGTGGGTTAGTACGTATGCGAATAGACAAATAGACGAATATAGAAACAATTAAAATAATAACAATAACTTTAGTTACACTCGGTTCTCTTTTTTATTCATATAAGCATGAAGACTAGTTTTAGACACTTATACGTACACACGACAGAAGGTATAATTACTAATTTTTTTCATATTTATATTTGCTGTTACAAAAATTCTTGTTAATATTATTTAGTAAACATATTATGAATTTTTTTTACACCTACCTTTTCCTTCTATTGTGTGGAGGTACAACTTTTATTTCTTTGGCTCCGAATAATCCCAAAGCATTCATTGTATGGTGAAATGGAATAATATATAAAACCATGCTTGTTTAATACGTATACAGATATATGTATATAATAACTTTGCATAGCATGTGACTGTACCAGTACTGTACATATAGTATGTAAATCAATGAACTTGTGCAACTATTTTTTGTATAACAAGAAGTATAACAAACTGTTGGTTTTATCTTTTTTACGCATCTGAACTTTTTCAATCTTCCCACTGCTACCGAATCATCCAATACTGCGATATTTGTGAATGCAAAATCAAGATTCGAATTAAACTATTCATTCATCTATTTAAAATCCGAATTTTTGAGTTTTTAAGTTTCAAAATTTTACTTAAAAGACATGTCGAGCATTTCACATAATGTTAGCGATGTAGAACATCAGCAAAACATATTTGCGAATAATTTTTGGGTAAGTCTAAATAAAACTTTTGATTTTATTATTCTTGTTTATTAAACACTTATTTATTTAAATTTAGGGCAGAGACGATGCTGGGTTTGAAGTACTTACTACACGTCTAAAACATGCGAAGCAAACATGCGAAGAAATTAAGAATTTATTTCATGAAAGGTTGGTTTAAGAATGTGATCTTTATCATTTAATTTAAATATATATATAATTTTTTATCAAATTTAAATTACAGAGCATTAATCGAAGAAGAGTATGCAAAGCGATTGTCTAAATTATCTAAAATCCAAATTGGAAAAGACGAAGTTGGGTAATGATTT